CTCCTATCCCAAGGAGAAATTTACAACCACTTAGATCCCACTGGACATTCACTCCCAATGAGACATTATAGGCCAACAGCAAGGGTAGAGCATGCAGGTAACAACTGGTTAAACTTGGCCAAGCATCTTGTTCCTATTAACAGCAACTGGAAGGCATCAAATAAAACAGTACAAGATGGTGATCTGGACATCTCCTCTGAAGGAAATATATAGTAACGTTGGTGTTTAGATAGTAACAGCTTTCTGTACCTTCATTTTCAAAGTGTCTCATAAACTTATTGCAGCACACTGCTTAAGGTTCTTTCTTTCACTCCCATAGTTAGGTTGCAACAAGCCTCTAACTATTGGGGAAAATTATTTGTGACAACAATGAGAAAAGGTCATAGTGGTGGACAAGGAACTCTTAAAATACTATTAAATATAGGTTAATAATTAAATAATTACAGTGGGCCATTGCTATCTACTGAGATTTTGTTCTAGGACTCCCAAATGGATACCATAATCTGTGGATGCTAAACTACCATTATATACAATGGCATAGGAAAATGGTGTCCCTTATATAAAATGACAACAACAAGGTTTTCTTTTTATATTTTTTCCAAGGTGTGGAAGGCTGAATCCACGGAAGCAGAATCCTGGATTGGAAGGGCTGCCTGTATAGCAGATTAATGAATCAGCTTATAAAAATATAAGGAATTTACTGAACCTTCTGTGTTCTTTCGCTTGGTAACAGGTTCAGACTCTCTTTCCTAAGTAACATATCACAATTCTCTTTACTCAAAAGACAGATTCTACCTTGATTTCTACCACAATCTACTTTTGCCTGGTAGACTCATTCTTCAGTGTCCTGTTTTTCCAGCTTCTGTTTCTATTATCTTGAAGCCACACAACAACCAAATTCCAGCAGGCATAACTGTTTGTGCTCATTCCAAAGGCTGGATGGATGAAGATGAAACTATCATTGCTATTTTCCCACCTAGGCATTCAAAAAAGCCAGAACCAGCACCACAGAGAATACAGGGGGTCCAGTGCTTCTTTTAGATTCTCCTGGGACAGACTAAGCCCTCATTTTTCACAACTCTACTCAGAGAAGGAGATGGTTTCTTTTTTGACAAGAGTCAGGGTACAGTACTTATACTAACCCTTGGATACATTGACCAAGGTTTTGGGGACAATTTCTTGACTAAAATTTCTACACTTATAGATATGTACAGTAAATTTTGAGGTGATACCAGATTTCAAAGTGTGCAGGAACACTCTTATGCCTTCGAATTGCTTGCTAGGCTTTGAATGAAAACAGCATATATTATTTTATCTTTCACAGAGTAGTATTTTATATGAAATCCCATGTGTATAGTTTCACTTCTAGGATGACATTTCATTAAAGTAACAAACAAAATTAGTACTATTCTAATCCTTTTCCAAAAAGAATTATTCATCTCTGATAAAATACAGTAAGGCAACTCCTTCCACAGTTATCAGCAGAACAACTTCCTGAAATACCAACCTAATTCAATAACTCTTATAGTGACTCAAGACACATCAAGGACACTCGGGGGGGGGGGGGGGGGGGGGGGGGGGGGGGGGGGGGGATACAGTCAATAACATTTATTTTCCTTTAATTTGATACATTTTAGTCAATATAAACATGGACATTATGAATGAAAATATATCCAAACCCTTGATATAGGTCATTTGATT